GTTGGTAAAAGAGTAGCCCAAGAGTTGGCGGTGGGTGGTGATGACTAGCTGCCTTCCCTCTAGTCTTATACTGCTAAATTAGGGACGACTAGCGAAGATAGCCCTCGTGTAGCTTTGTCGCGAAATTCAAAACAAAAACAAAAACGTATTGTCATGTATTATTTGCAATTGTAAGTCAGGTAAACGTACTTTATAATGTATCTAAAAGTATTTATTACGTAAAACAATGACTCGGTGTTTCTTGCATTAGCCGTGGAGTTTTTATATATATACACCGAAAACAACATCCAGTAAAATAATAACTTATTTTGGAATGATTGACTTTGAACAATCTTGTGTTTTATTTATTCTGGTGATTTTTCTTACAAATGCTCGTGTCTCGTAGTCGAGATTCAAAGCCGAGAAAATTATTTTTTGAGAGATTGTTTGTTTGTTTTTGAATTTTCGCGCAAAGCTACACGAGAGCTATCTGCGCTAGTCGTCCCTAATTTAGCAGTGTAAGACTAGAGGGAAGGCAGCTAGTCATCACCACCCACCGCCAACTCTTGGGCTACTCTTTTACCAACGAATAGTGGGATTGGCCGTCACATTATAAAACATGCCCACGGCTGAAAGGGCGAGCACGTTTGGTGTGACGGGGATTCGAACCTGCGACCCTCAGATTGCGAGTCGAGCGCCCTAACCACCTGGCCATGCCGGGCCTTTTTGAGAGATACTCTAGTTAATACGAACTGAACGTTGAAGTAGTTGGAATGTACACTTACAATAGAAAGCAAGAGGAAGTTTAAAATATGAATACCAGGAAAAAATAACTTCCCTCCCCCCACCACAACAGAAATAAAGAAAAGGTACCAATATTTATTTCGAAGGTTCTCGACTTGTAGCGCCACCTATAGGCAACGTCTGTAAAACAGTGCACGGCACGCAGTTTGTACTTTACATTATTTGTTAAAAGTACAAGCATTCATATTCTAAAAACTATTCTCAAAATATAGGAATGGATATAATCTAAAGATAAGGTTAAAAGTTTAAAAACATTTAGATTTTTGTGCTTAAACTTATATATTTATCAATCCCGATTTTTTTTGTCTATTGTTGTTGTTTTTCATTCCAGTTTCGTACTAGTAACTCCTAACAATGAATTATTATTCTGCGCATATTTAAACGCACAGAATTCTTTATGATGTTGAATTCCAGTCACGGACGCAAATACTTATTTAACTTGTTGGATCAAGTCCATAAGCTTCCGAGGCCACTTCGAATTTTTGACAGGTCCCCACGAGGTTGCGCCACTGCTTCGACATCGCTCTACGAGTTAAGTCGTTTAAGTAACTCCATAGCAATAACTGTCCTAGGTTACTTCGAAAATCCCATTAACCCAGAGTTTAAGGTTAAAAACGTTGTCAATGTCAACGCACACCTGGTGTTATTTACCACTAAATTCAAGTTGCCTTGACCTTATCAGCCTGTAGCAGCGCCACCTACCTTTGGTTCCTCGAGGCTAAATTTATACACAGTTTTCAAATCTTCCAAAGACTCCCATTTGTCTTTACTAGCTAGGTTGATGAGGCTAGTCGTCAGAAGAAGACTACCTTTAGTCTTGATAATGTCCCACTGTAATAATAATAATAAAAAAAAAACGATTATTGCTAATTTTACAACTACTGTATTTGTATTTAAAGCAAAAAAGTTACTAAGGCTATATCCCGCCGTCCATGTTTTGAACTTCTGGCCAGAGGGAAGGCAGCCAATCAGGAGCACCCACCATCCATGCTAAAGGATTGACTGTCATTCTAATAACACAACCGTAACTAAAACTGCAGGAAATATCGCACAGAAACGAAGCCGGCAAGTCAGCTCCAAAACGTGATTTTAGTATGATACCGAGTCAAAAATTCTTATAAATTGAATAGATACATAAAATACAACATATCTCCGTATCTTTGACATAAAATACAACATATCTCTGTTTATTTGACATAAAATACAATATATATTTGACATAAAATACAATATATATTTGACATAAAATACAATATATCTTTGACATAAAATACAATATATCTTTGACATAAAATACAATATATCTTTGACATAAAATACAATATATCTTTGACATAAAATACAATATATCTTTGACATAAAATACAATATATCTTTGACATAAAATACAATATATCTCTGTATCTTTGACATAAAATACAATATATCTCTGTATCTTTGACATAAAATACAATATATCTCTGTATCTTTGACATAAAATACAATATATCTCTGTATCTTTGACATAAAATACAATATATCTCTGTATATTTGACATAAAATACAATATATCTCTGTATATTTGACATAAAATACAATATATCTCTGTATATTTGACATAAAATACAATATATCTCTGTATCTTTGACATAAAATACAATATATCTCTGTATCTTTGGCTAACTATAACAGTTTATGAATACGTGCAATACAAATAGTAATTAAAAAACAACTAATTATTTCAATATGTGTATTTATAGCAAAGTTACTAAGGCTATCTGCCACCGCCCATAATTTTGAACTACTGATTAGAGGGAAGGCAGCCAATCAGGAGCAGGGATTGACTGTTACTCTTATTATGTTTAAAGTATGGGGGAATATTTTGTAGTATAGCTAGGATTCCAACACGATCCCAAATCCAGAACTCTGTCTACCACAGATCAAGCTCCACGCCACCATGTACTTGAAACTTTAACACAAATCGCCCCCACAGTAACTCCCCTCCATCATTTAGTTGATCCCCTGAACGAGATGACAAGCTGTTGTTATGTCCACAATACCACAGAATAATCATCTTACAAAATGCAGATTTATAGTGTTTTAGGTGACACAACAAAAAATGTGTGGGGTAGGAACAGGTGTCTTAGAAGGTTCTGGAAACCCTCTACTGGGGTTTTAAATAAATGGTACAACATTCAAGGGTAAATTGTCACCAATATAATAAACACAACACAAATCAACATCTTGTTTAAAAATCCGACGCTCAGAATCTGATTATAGATGCTTTAAAATTCTCAATTTTAAACAAAAATACATTATTTTACCTCGTTCGTTATTAACCACAACCGACAGATGTCGCTATAAAACATGGGAAAAAAAAGTACTAATTTCTTTATGGAAATTTAACAACCAGTCTGAGTCAATGGGACCGAATTCTGGGGATTGGGTGGGCTACAGATGGGTGTTGCAATTTCCGGTATTCAAACTAGAGGTATAAAATGATTATCTTCTCATTAATGTTTGGCCACGAAGATGCAGGGTTCAGAAAGTTGGCCAGACTGTGTGCCTCTAGCACAAACTAAAAGTGTTCATGTTTAGACACGTACCACACTTTGATACTTTACAGCGTTGAGTAGGCTTAGCTGAGATTTTTTCAATTATCTCTATCGACAGAACTCTTGAAAACAGCAGAGAAAACAGAAGCTGAGGAGCCAAATCAGTCTACCGTGTTTTATGCGGGATTCTGGATGAGGGTATGGATTTTACTCCTCCTTAGCCTCGAAACTAGTGCGAAGTCCGTCATACTGATGACAGTTCGGATATTCCACGAAGTTCAAGTGTTTATCCAGAGTATAAAAAGAAAGCGAGACAGAGAACCGGAAATCTTTATTTGGGGATCAATCCACCAAACGTGTCCCCCCCGACTCGAAAACTAGGTGTTAAAAAGCTTATTTTATGGTACAAAAAGTACAAAACCTAATTTCAATATGCGTCATCAAAGGTAACGCGTGTAATTCTTAATCGATCTTAGCCCTTAAACATCGCTATAGAAGGACAAAAGCGATAAACTCGCAATCTGCGAATCGCGAGATCGAAACCTATCACCGAACATGCTCGTTCCTTTCAACAGTGGGAGCGTTATAATGTGGCGCTCAATCCCTCTTTTCGTTGGTAAAGGAGTAGCCCAGGAGTTTGCGGTGGGTGGTGATGACTAGCTGCCTTCCCTCTGGTGTTACACTGCTAAATTAGGGACGGCTAGCGCAGATAGCCCTCGAGTAGCTTTGCGCGAAGTTCAACGAAACAAAATAATATGTCAAGAGTGTAAAACGGAAGCGCCGGAAATGTTCAGTACGTCATTTCCTTTCTACACAAATTATGTTTACCTTGTAGTCTCCCTTGAATTTCTCGTCGTGTGGCAGTTTCCAGCTCTGAAAGAAAGGAAAATATTCTATAAGCTGAATAATACATTACTAGCTTCACATATTTTACAACGAAATGTAACAATGAGAAATTTCCCAGAAAACTATCACTGTAAATAAAGGATAATAAGCATTGTTTCCAGATAAGCTCTAAAGTTTGCCCATTTTTGGTACGTTATTGTCCAAGTGCATGTTAAAATAAAACAACGGATAGTGAGGGGGGGGGATAGCTGACTGTAAAGAACAACGGATAGTGAGGGGGGGATAGCTGACTGTAAAGAACAACGGATAGTGAGGGGGGGATAGCTGACTGTAAATAATTAAGAATTCTAATTTTCTATATTCTTTGGCGCCACAAGTTTAAATAGTTTAAAAGCAATACGACTTTATTATTAGAATATTGTATAAAATGAATACTTAAAAGGTCACAGATCTGGAAACAAGCGGGAGAATTACAAATATGCAACACTTTGCACATACAACACACTAACCTGGGGGAGGGGGGTATACACCCACCAAACGTTAACAGAAATATATTCACTAGGTGATGTATATACCGACGATTCTTAGAGGACACAAAAGCACAACATATAAAACCTTGTATTATGGAAACAAACGGAAACCAAGCAAGTGATGATATTTGGATAAACTAGCTCTAGTACCCGATCAACGGAGGAGGGGGGAGATATAAAGGCCCCAGACCAGTAACTTAGTAGTCAGATCCGGGGGGGTGGATACTCTAAGAGTGCATTTGGTGGCAATCGGTCCAGCGGTTCGCTAGTTATAAGCAGCCACACACACACACTGACAATATTAAACACAAGCAAGTCTAAACGCTGACAATGTCAACAGAAACAAGTCTAAACGCTGACAATGTCAACAGAAACAAGTCTAAACGCTGACAATGTCAACACAAGCAAGTCTAAACGCTGACAATATCAACACAAGCAAGTCTAAACGCTGACAATATCAACACAAGCAAGTCTAAACGCTGACAATGTCAACACAAGCAAGTCTAAACGCTGACAATGTCAACACAAGCAAGTCTAAACGCTGACAATGTCAACACAAGCAAGTCTAAACGCTGACAATATCAACACTAGGAAGTCTAAACGCTGACAATATCAACACTAGGAAGTCTAAACGCTGACAATATCAACACTAGGAAGTCTAAACGCTGACAATATCAACACTAGGAAGTCTAAACACTGACAATATCAACACAAGCAAGTCTAAACACTGACAATATCAACACAAGCAAGTCTAAACACTGACAATATCAACACAAGCAAGTCTAAACACTGACAATATCAACACAAGCAAGTCTAAACTTTGACAATGTCAACACAAGCAAGTCTAAACTTTGAAAATATCAACACAAGTAAGTCTAAACTTTGAAAATATCAACACAAGCAAGTCTAAACGCTGACAATGTCAACAGAAACAAGTCTAAACGCTGACAATGTCAACAGAAACAAGTCTAAACGCTGACAATGTCAACACAAGCAAGTCTAAACGCTGACAATGTCAACACAAGCAAGTCTAAACGCTGACAATATCAACACAATACATCAATCTCATTTCTCTTCTACTTCACATTCTAGGAAGGAAATACTTCATTCCAATGAGTGACAACAACAACAAAATCAACGTGTGAAATTGTGAAACATGTCCTTTTGTGCGTGACTTGGAATGTTACACACAATAAATATGATTGAGTGACAGCCTATCTTACCAATGGCGTTTCCCGATTGATTGCGTTCGAAATAGGCCCATCGTAACTACGTAACACCGAACTTACGAAACCAGCAATTTTCTGTGAAAATCATTAAACGTTAGACAAATAACGATAGTTTTTTTATTTTATTTTTTTTTGGAAAACAGTCCTGCAAATGTGCACAAGAATTATAAACGCTAGCCGTCCCTAATTTTGAACTGAGTGGAATAAAGGAATCTAACCAACTTTGAGGTTACTCTATTAGTAAACTATGATGATTTATAGCCCTTACATTACTCGTCATAAATATGATTTATAGCCCTTACATTACTCGTCATAAATATGATTTATAGCCCTTACATTACTCGTCATAAATATGATTTATAGCCCTTACATTACTCGTCAGAAATATGATTTATAGCCCTTACATTACTCGTCAGAAATATGATTTATAGCCCTTACATTACTCGTCAGAAATATGATTTATAGCCCTTACATTACTCGTCATAAATATGATTTATAGCCCTTACATTACTTGTCATAAATATCACGTAAACTGTTCATTTTCCACATTCCTCGCTACGTCTGTTCGTTTTCCACATTCCTCTCTACGTCTGTTCGTTTTCCACATTCCTCTCTACGTCTGTTCGTTTTCCACATTCCTCTCTACGTCTGTTCATTTTCCACATTCCTCTCTACGTCTGTTCATTTTCCACATTCCTCTCTACGTTTGTTCATTTTCCACATTCCTCTCTACGTTTGTTCATTTTGGATTCAAATTAGAGACGTTTAAAAACATATTTCATATATTTCTTTTCTCTCACACAACTTACTATCCAAGAAGCCTTTTCGTTCAACACCAGGAACGTATCAGTTGAACCATTTTCTTTTAATGCCTAAATACTTTCGTCTTCGGCTGTTCTACAGATGTTAAAAGGAGTCCAGGAATTGAAACAAAACATTGTAATTATCGCGCTGCGTGTAACAAAAACGAGTTGTTTATGTCTGGCTCGAGAATAGTTCTGTACACCAAGCAATGGACGGGTGGAGGTGGGGTCACAACAGGAAATTCTCACTTATTAAACTGAGAAAAAGTTTCGTACAATTACAATTTTAAGCTGGTGAATAAACTACAAAACCAATACAAATATTATAATATACAGCGATCAGCTTTCTGGTTTCGTCAGCATTCTTCCCAAAATATTTTCCCCGAAACTGTTCCAGATTTTCCGGACTTTATATGTAAAGTGTACGACAGAATGATACTTCAACCTTCCCTATTAATTACTGTTGCTTATTTGTTCATAAAAACAATGGGTCCCCACCGCAGGCATATCGAAACACGATTTTTTTTTTTTTGCGTTGAGCCACTGGGGGGAGGGGGGGTCATATATCTACCAAGTTACCCCATTTTATCTTGTAATATAAAGGAGAAAACAAAAAAATAATTTCAGAACTTCATAATACAGTACTATAGAAAAACACACAAATGTAGTTTGTTGAAAATAAAGATTTACGTAATTATTTATCTGTCACATGATACAGTGGTATATGCACATGCTCAGATTCTGAAATGAAAGAGGATTTTTTTTTTTTTTTTTTTACACTTTTCGGAACTACTTTTTATATTTCCGGAATTTTACACGGTAAACATCCTCCACCTGTGTTTGTTGTAGCCACCACAGCAAACTTCTTCCGAAACTAGATTCTTGCGTAACGCCTATTTATTTTATGAATTTTTGTGCCAAAGCTACTCGAAGGCTATCTGCGCTAAGCCGTCCGTAATACAGCTGTGAGGGAATATAGACTAGAAGGAAAGCAGCTAGTCAACACCACCCACCGCCAACTCTTTTATCAACAAATAGTGGGATTGACCATAAAGTTATAAAGCTCCCGCAGCTGAAAGGGCGAGGATGTTCGGTGACGGGATTCGAACCCTCGGTCCGCAGATTGCGAGTCGAGTGCCCTCTATTCTACGTAAAGTAATTCTCTGAGTGGCTCAATATTAACTGTATAGGAACAATACTGAGAACGAATTTCATTGATCGTAAAGACATCTCAAAAAAACAACAACAAAACACTCGAACAATAACTGTAAGAGTCTAAGAAAGTGAACCGAAACACGTTAGGGCTGTAACTAAAGCTGACAAGGAGCGGGAAAAAGAACTGAGGTTGTTAGAACGAAATCATCATTTACTGATGATCAGAAAGATTTATTAAACCTGATAAATATATACAGATTGGAAGAAAAGTTGACTTACAAGTGTTTACATCACTATAACTATAAGGTACCATTTGACCACGGCTAGAGACTAGCCAACGGTTTTAAACGGACTTGAAAGACGGAATGAAGGAGTAAAATAAATAAAAACAGTAAAGGCGACCACGTAACACAGAATAAAACGTTCGGTCCCTTTTCACCGAACGCAGAAGCTGAAGAAACATGTCCCAAATACGTTGTCTCATTGTCAGACAGAAACAAGCACAGCGCGCTCAATTCTTGTTTCACGTGTTTACAGCGCGCTCAATTCTTGTTTCACGTGTTTACAGCGCGCTCAATTCTTGTTTCACGTGTTTCATAATATATCAGATTCCTTTCTGTTTTTTTAGAGATCCAGCTGGGTTCATATTTATTTTCTTGTGGACGTGAGAGGTTATATCACCCTGTTATCACCCTGTTCCCTTAAACGCCTCGGGCAAGGTGAAATAAAAAAGTACTTCAAAGGAGTCTTCAGTGTTATTAAGAACTCGAAGTTCACCAGGCTCATTTTCTGATTTAGCCAACCATTTCTTCTATATTTTATAACCACTCCGTTACTGTTGTTTTTTTTTTCTTCTAAGCACAGAGCTACGTAATTGGTTATCTGTTCCGTGCCCCCCCCCCCCCCCCGAGGGACCGACTCTTACCGCCGAGTGTTATTCTGTTGAATTTAGTTTCAGCTTGTAAGTAAATCCCACACGGTATGTTAGTTTCAAGGTTACACGTACACTCAGTTACCTGATCACCGCTACAACTAGAGATTAGGACGACTTTAGTGTAGAAAAGAACAGGTATGGCGAGTCGTACCGGTAGAAGGACAAAGGAGTGAAGTTCAAGTATTGTTTGTTTGGTTTTGAATTTCACGCAAAGCTACACGAGGGATTCAAATTCGATGACGAGGAACCCACTTTGAGACTA